TGGGAAGGCCTGGGCTCGGCAGAGTGCGAGCAATCTGGCCAGGCGCCTAAGGAGGGAGCGCGCCCTTCAGACCGACAAGTCGCTCGTGGGCGAGGCTGTGCATTCGGCGATGGCCAGCATCGACCCCCCGCCCGAGGCCGCCGCCGAGCTCGGCGAGAGGCTGGAGGCACTGGGCCGTGCGCTGCTGCTGCACCAGAGGCTCGACCGCATCCTCGATAATCACCGTCACCGCCTCGGCGACGCGCTGCGGGAGATGGTCAACATCGTCCAGATGCTGATGGGTGGCTGGAGCAGAGCATGCAAGTCAAGGCAGCGGGTGATCGTGCCCGCCACGAGGGGCTTGGATGCACGACAAGCCTGTTGGCGCAGGCCCGCCCTCGGCTCCTACCTCGGGATCGCGTGAGGACGCCCCGACGTTCATTCCGCAGGCTGCTGGCTCGGAGCCCTTGGGTATGGGCATGCGCTGCTCTTGTGGCGCGATCGTGTTCTCAGATTGCCGCGGCCCGCCCTACGGGGCCCCGCGCGGTACGGGAACGCCGAGGACCGCTATGAAGCAGGCCGAGGAGGTTGAGGATGAGTCGGGGATTGCGGAGGTTGCGGAGCCTGGGATCGAATCGGCGCAGTGTGGATTCAGGGCCGACGCGGAGGTATTCGTGCCGCTCGCCCGGCTCCGCAGGCAGGTGGTGGACTTCTCTGGCGGGGTTCGGACGCAGGAGCAGCGGAGTGCGCGGCCCTTCGTGCAGCGCCGTGTGGTGCTGGACGAAGCGACCAGCCGCCAGCGATGGAGGCCAGCGAAGCGCGGGCTCGGTTGCTCGGCGACGCCGATGCCCTGCGGGGCGGTGCGGCGCTGGGCGCTTTCGGGCCCCCACGGGGGATGACTGCCCTTCCGCTGGCTGCTGCTGCCCGTGGCGGAGATCCTGGCGGTCTTGCAGCTGCGCTGGATGGGCTCGGGCAGGCCTTCGCCGACATGGCAGCGACGTCGCCCCCCGCGCCGCCGCCGCCGCCGCTCGCCCCGCCGGTCGACGGTTGCGAGCAGCAGTGAATGTATGTGATTTGACTCAGTGAAGTTCGTTCCACATTTATAGTGCGCATACCTCCATTGTGAATCTGCATGGGCATTTGTTCGTGTGTGAGAGAGAGAGAGAGAGAGATCGTGCGTGGATGGACGGCTTTCTGGCAGACGCAGAGGTGCTTGGTCATGGTGGTCTTCCATGTCGTCGCCATCCCCGTGGAGGTCAGAGAGAGGTGATGATATGTGCACTCTTGTGAAGGCGGTAATCCTGGTAATCCTCCTCCTCCTCCTCCTCCTCCTCCTCCTCCTCCTCCTCCCCCTCCTCCTCCTCCCGGCGCGAAAGGCCAGGGGCACCCTGGGCCAGGGACTCCCCCTGGCCGCCCCCGAACACGGGCAGCCGCTCCAGGGGCCCCGCCACCAGCTGCGCCCTCGCCCGCGCCCCCGAGGTCAGCCCGGCCAGGGCCCCCTCGAGCTCCTCGGGCGGGTGACTATTAGACAAGCGCGTTCTACCAACTCGCAAATTGACCACTCGCAAGCGGCCTGGCTCCGCCGAGGAGGACTCACGACCCACTACATCGAGGCGAGCATGTTTGGGGGGGGGACGTTTGCCAGTAGGCACTTTGCGAGGAGTGGAACACACCCGGTGAATTATTGAGAGGAGGAAGAGGTACTCGTACCGCTATCCTTCGCACGTTTCCCCCTGGTTGGCCCTCCTAGGAGGTCCTCGTCGCCACGGCTGGGGATTCGCCTCGAAATCCTGGTCAGAACGCACCCCGAGAGAAGTCCGGGGACTAGCGGTATCAGAACCTTCTGGTCTCCCCAGTAGCAAGGGTAGGGTAGATAATCAGCTCACGCAGATGGTTTTCTCGGCGCATTCCGGCGCCGAGAGGCGCCCATGTCTCGGCGGGGCGGAAGCCAGCTGCATGCAGCAGATGTCGTAGCGCCCCCACATTCCCCGATCCTGCCCTTGGGGAAACCAAAAGGTACCGATACCGCTACTCCCCGGACCTCTCCCGGGGCGCGGTCTGACCAGGACGTCGAGGCGAATCCAGTAATGGCGACGAAGGCCTCCGAGGAGGCCGACAAAAGGGGGAAGCGGGCGAAGGGTAGCAGTATGGGTACCTTTGTTTTCTTCCCCTCATTGACTCACCAGGCGTGTTCCACTACTCGCAAGGTGCCTACTCGCAAGCGTGCCCAAAAAAACAGGTTCGCCTCGATGTAATGGGTACCTTTTCCTCCTCCGAGCCCTTTCGTCCAGCCCGATCCTCGGGCGGGCGGCAGCGGGGGCGGGAAGGCGGGAAGGAGGAGCGAGTGGGCAGGACCGGCGGCGCGCCAAGAGGGGGGAGCGAGAGGAGGCAGGCATTCTCGGAGGGCGGCGGGGCGACGGGGAGGGCTGAGAACGCGCTTCTCGTGAGGCCAGGAGGAGGAGGAGGAGGAGGAGGAGGAGGAGGAGGAGGAGGAGGGAGAAGGAAGAGGACGAGGAGGCGG